ATACCCTCGCCCGGTTGGGGCGGGGGGGGGAGCAATTTGACCCCCCTGAGATCTCAAGAACTATGAGAGCTGGGGACACCAAACTCACGGGCTATGTTGACCTGTACGGGAAATCACTTGATCAAAGTTTCAGGTTCCTAGGTCATGACCTTCGGGCCAAATAAGGTCAAACAAGGTCAAATTCTAGGTTGGTCTCCAAAGTGCCCCCAGAGCCTAGAAAACTGTTTCTAAGCAAAAGTAACATGCTCATTTAATGTCAGTGACCTTGTTTGACCTTTGAAAGGTAATGGTGACCAAAATCTTACAAGACTGCTTTGAATTTTGCATTTGAATAAGCGACAAAGATTACGCTAGGCAATATGCCCCTAAGAACCAAATGTTGACCTGGGTCATTTTAGGTCAATGACCTATTCTGACCTCTAAGACGTCCACGGAAGTTGTGGAATGCGGTTCCTGCTATCAATAAATTCGAAATGAGCACCAGAAACTATCCCATACAGCATGCCCTTGAGCAATAAAGCAGGTTAGTTTTGACCTTGGCATGACTTTTATAACTGACCTTAGGTCAATGCAATTTGTTCACTTCAATTGTTATGTTGCCTTAGAGAAAGCAGTTCAGAAATGTATGGCTTCGCCTAACACTCTGTTGTTGCACAAGATTGACAAATTACCTACAAATCGGCTTCGCTGAAACCATGGCCTGACTTTGACCTGCCATAGGTCAGCGACCTTACAAGGTACATCTACATTTTTGCACCAAACGATCGGCTATTCAATTGTCGACAGCTTTGCAAAATTTCGTACGGCTACGCCACGCCGTTCGGAAACCATTATGGAAAAACCTTCGGGGGGTTAACTTGACCCTCCCCACCAGAGCGCGTGTTAAAGGAGTGTCCCACCTTTGGGGCATTTTTCAAAAACATACTCTAGTGAAACCTCAGGATAAGTTGCGTCTAACAGTGACACTCGGTAGTCCTGCTGCAGCACCAAGACATAAAGATACTGGTTTTAATTATCCTTAGTCCAAATTACGCTGTCTGCGCTCTACGACGGCACTGCCCAGTGCCGCTACAATTCTTCCCTGCAGTCGCGACCACCGTCGTCATAATAATGACCGTGCACACTAGTGCGATTAACACAACGTGTGTGATTGGCTCAGCTAGCAAGGATCTGTTACCAAGGAGCACATTGGTTGAGGTTTGAACCAGTGCACCACATGGTCATGTGATACTCCTGTTTCAGTACCCAAAGTGCGTCTTGAAAAGAACCACTTCGGTAAACGCCATGTAGAAGATATCAAAGCCAAAGTGTCACATTTATTTGATTTACGGGGATAAAGGCTTCATGTTCGCACATCCTTTGGTCTAAACAATGTGTTTCATGCTTTCGTGGCATTTATTACATAAACATTTTGTCACATCACTTTGTTGCAAACAATACAGAGCACATATGTTGGAAAACGGAAGGCATATTAAATCTGTTACTTTGATAATGGTGACCAGGCAGTCACATGACATGTCTCCGCAGGGTCGGCTACTTCAAAACAAAATTCTGAGCTGTTCAGAAGGATTTCGGGAAAGCTCGCGTTACTGGTCAAATCGGACGTGCTTGATGTCTCAATAAGTGAACAGTAAAACAAGGTGGGATGCCCCTTTAATAAGGCCATACTCCACCCAGCCTCTAAGTCTCCTCCCATCCAACAGCCTTCTGACACACTCTCTCCATCAGAACACCTGTAACAGCATCGCACAAATCGTTCAGTTCCGAAAAAAGCCGCAGCAGATGACATGCGGCGCTCGGACGGAGCAATGCAATTTGAGACTGGCTGGCGGCGCGTGGATTGGCGGAAAGCCAGAGTCTGAGGGTGCCCCGCCGTGCCCCGCCGGAGCTGCTGGCTCGTGGAGCTCCGCCACAAGGAACCTGAGTCCGATAGTGCTCCGGCGAACGAATGAAGATGTCCTAAAATTCGGGTGGGCCTACAAAGATCGATAAAGTGGTCTTTTCGATATTTCTGGACGGCAAATGGTGGTAACGTGTACAGTTCAGTAATCGACCATTTTCCCCATAATGGGTCATCTATTCACCTGAAAGGCAGCCGGTATCTCGTTGGTAATATTGGTGTAGACGCTAAGGCCGACAAAGGCTACTTGTGAGAGGTTGCGGGTCAAAGGAAGGAACAAGAGTCAGGTCGCTGACGACCAGTGCAAACCCGCTGTCCAAGGCTACCTGAGCTATCGCTTCAAAAACATATCGCTGAAGCATGTTCAGGATCACAATGCCGACACGATCTAACAACAACCTTTAGCTTAGTTCATGGAACAGCATGACTACTGAGAAGTCGGAATGCCGACGTCTCCAAAACCTGACATTCCACAACGATAAAAAGGGCGTCTTTTGTCCAATGCCACGACCTGTGCCAATAAGCTTAGGCAGGAATGTCACCAGTGGCGTGCCATGAATTCTTGTCACACATTTCGTCGCCGCTAGTACCATGGATATGGGGGAAAATTGCCGACGAAGTCAATAAATTGTATCAGCTGACGAAGCTGTTGGCAAGAAGACGTGTACTCGTCCAGGAGTAAGGAAGACAACCCACAGTATGCATTCATGCGGAATGAAACGGAAACCGCGCAAAATGACTGGCTGCGGTGCTTGCACAGGCAAACTGTTCATGGCCTTGCAAATTAAACAGAAAGGACTAAACTGGACTTTCGAGATATCGACACCAGTGGCGGGACCAGACACGAGCCATCGACACCGGTGGCGGGACCAGACACGAGCCATCAGACCAGACCAGACACCGATGGCGGGGCCAGACACGAGCTATCGACATCAATGGCGGGAACAGACACGAGTCATCGACACCGGTGGCGGGACCACACACGAGCCATCGACACCGATGGCGGGGCCAGACACGAGCTATCGACATCAATGGCGGGAACAGACACGAGTCATCGACACCGGTGGCGGGACCAGACACGAGTCATCGACACCGGTGGCGGGACCAGACACGAGGCATCGACACCGGTGGCGGGGCCAGACATGAGTTATCGACACCGATGGCGGGACCAGACATGAGTCAACGACACCGGTGGCGGGATTAGACATCCTGGACTGCTCTGGAGGCATCACAGTATCGCTCGGCCTTAGCAGTCATTGTCAAATGTCGTCGGCAGATCGGCAGTGTTGTACGAGTATGCGGTGCCAAGCGACGATAGTTAGTTATTGAGTTTTAAGGCCGAGTCAACTGCACTGATTATTTGCGCCACCAAGCAACGATTGACCAACAGTTCGATCTTTGCACTTAAGAAAAAAGAAACCAGAATACGACATTATCATCTACAAAAGCCGCGCTCAGTCACGCAAAGACATGACGTCACAAAGTCCAGCATAAAGCACCGCTACAGTCAAGCCCAGTCTGTCTCCGCGCCCCGAGTCACTAATGGCGGCATCCCTCCCAGTCGAATGCGCCGTCCGCTCCCACACAGGTCTCTGCAGGTCGCACATGTCTGCCCTCCAGTCACGAACAAGGAGGACGGCGGGGTTCCAGCGACTGACGTGAGCTGCGGCCCACTGCGGGAGCAGCGACCCGTCCAGCTCTCCACCGGCTCCGCAGCAAGACAGATGGGATCGCAGCGCACATGCGCACCGTGCAACAGACGCAGATAGAGGGATACCAGCGCACGGGCGGGCAGTGAAAGCCACCGGCGCTGGCGCGGCTGGGGTGCGAGCACACGCGACGGTGGTAGGACGGCTAGCGACCGCCGCGGGCGGCACGAGCCAGCGTGCTCTGCAGGCTTGACATACTGACGTCATTACGCGTGGTGGGGTCTGTGGGAGTGTGCAGGTGCGGCTCTGCTTTGGACGGCTGCCACATGAGGCAGACGCGCTGTCTGCCAGAGGGACGCCACACGTACCATGTCTGAAGCGGTGTCGCTCCACAAGCAGATCAATGAGAATTGTTGGTGCTGATCACTGGGCGGCGTCGCGTGTAGAAGCCTTGACTTCCGGAGAAGTCAACTGGGACACTTAGTGTGGTTTCAGTTCCAGGCGGACCAGTGCAGGGAAAACGGTTCATGACTTTATTGCGTATGGCATCTGTTCACGTACTAACTTCATTATAATTTTAACCTTTGGAGTAAAGCGGATTTTTAAGAGAAACTCTTTGCTGCAAGAAGCAGCTCACAAGTGTGATTTCTTTTGTTCCAAGACTGGCATTGATATAGCCTAATTGTAGACATTTTCTGTTTGTGGCGGCCAACATGGCCCAGGCATACACTAGCCTCCAGCCTTCTTGTGTTTGCACAGTTCTTCTCGTGTGTTAACGACCAATCTACCCCGTATCACCAGCGTGTGCTTTCCTCCGTTCAGGAATGCTGCCCAGGCAACCCTTACATCAATAATCTGATGAGTGCTTCATCAGACAAACCACACAAAAAACTCCTGTTTAGCGGTAATTTATTCATCCCCCGCTATTTGCAGAAATTCGGTACAGTTTTAGATATATATATATATATAGCCACAAATAGGCACGAAATCGGACAAGTGGGAGCTAGGCGGAAGTTTACATTGGCCAGCGTGCCCCTGTTATAAAAACTTCTGTTTTCACAGGCAAGACTTGGCTTACTCAACCGACGGCCCGCAATGTGGCATGACCTTTTATCCTCCCGAACGCAACAGATGGTCAGCTGCATGGCAAGACGCCTGCCACTCACTGGCACGGGGTCACGGACTGTCGGAAGGAGCAGTGACATTTAGAAAGCTGTAAATCTACAGTCACTTTCCGACTCAGAGCTCACGCACATGCCAGGACTGACGAGTCGTGCACCGGCATGGGCCCTTTGGTTTACGTTACAGCCAAGACATCCCATTGTGGCCTCACAGTGACGGCGCGTCAGATCGGTGGACATGATTGTGGCGCATTAGCAGGCAACGCCGCATCGTGCCTGGATGACGGGCAAGGAAAGCGAACACGACTCCGACTTCAGCTCAGCACTTACCTGGATAGCGTGGCTCCGACACGAAGACCTGCGCGCCGACCTGGGCCGCGGACCAGGTCACGAGCAGTGCAGCCAGGGTCAGCTGCCTGCGGCCGGACATCGTGAGCGCCGGTGGCGTGGGGCGAGCCCTCACGAAACGCGTGACTGATCGGGAGACGGCGGCGTCGCGTGTCCTTAATGGCTGCCGGGCAGCGCCGGAGCCATTCGAGGTTCGTCGAGGCCGATGCGCGCTGTCGACGTCGACGCGACGCTGGACACGGACGTGCCAAATGGGGTGGAGTGTCGACGCCGGCCGCGGCAAGGGGAGCTGGCACGTGGAGGCGCACGGCGCGGCCCGGCTATTTTCCAACTTCGAATCACTGCCGCCTGCAAACGAGCTTAATCAGCAGCCGGTGTGTGTGGATCGCGTGTCAGGCACTGGCAAACAACGACTCCTGCTCAGCCGTCCCACCGTCACACGGGGACAAAGCAGGCGCCAGCAGTCAAGGCCGGCCTGTGGTCATGAACCGGTGGCCACCAATCCCCCTGAACCTGCGCCGGCTCCTGAGCTCCGGAACCAGCTCTTCAGCATCAGCACCAGCCCCTATGTACCAGCGCCGGCTCTTCAGCACTCGCAGCGATCCCTACGCACCAGCACTAGTCCTTCAGCACCAGCACGGTCCCTCAGCACCAGCACGGTCCCTCAGCACCAGCACGGCCCCTAGCACCAGCACGGTCCTTCAGCACCAGCACGGTCCTTCAGCACCAGCACCAGCTCCAGCATCAGCCGCACGTCACTGATCCCTCAGCTCCACCGCAAGTCTCCAGTCCCCCAGCGCCGCCGAGCGTCTCCGGCGCTGCGGTCAGCGCGAGATGCCGGCAGGGGGCGCGGCGTGCCCTGAGCGTCTGTGCTGGGAGGCGGCGCGCTGGTCCCAGCCTCCTCTGGCACCGTAGCTGCACTGCGGGGCAGGCGGCGGCGGCACGCCGGCCCGGCTGCCAGCGGCGGCCCGCCGGCCCGGCGAGAGGGCGCCCCCTCGCGCCGGCCGTCGGGCCGCGTCTCTCACATCAGACCGAAGCCGCTGACTGGCAGCCAACCCGCGAACAAAACTGAGCCAGCGCCCACGCCACGCACAACAAACGCCGGCTCGGTGACGGATGAGGCCATGGCAGCTGCGCTGGGCCACTGACGATGGTGGAGTTGCGAATGCCTGCCAGGCCTGTATGTGGCCGATCGCCAAAAGTGAACGGCGGCACAGCATTTTACCGCTGGAAATAGTTGTTTATTGGTACACATTTTTACTCAACAGGTAACTATGCGCGATGATTGGATATCGCTTGAAGCTAAAGCTCTCACTAAGCTCGAACTACACGTAATATTACAAAATATTGCCACATTGAGTTATACAGGCTTGCGCATCAGCCCGCGTGGCTACTTCGCGAAATATCTTGGGCTGCATCCCAAATTAGTGATGCTGGTGCTAACTGCAGTTAAGAGAGCAGCAATTCCTTTGTAAGATTGGCTTACATGCGGCAGAATATGAGAGGCAGCAGACCAGGCAAAGCCCAAGACACATGCCAACTTGATTACATGGGGTTAGATGAAGTAGGATGAGGTCAGCAAACTTAGCAGCCATAGAAGCCCCAGTGGCCGAGCCGCGGTATTTACGGTGAGCTCTTAGTTCCAGCAGCTGAATCAGGCCTGGCACACATGGCCATGGAAAAGCAATGGTATGGATAAACCAGACCTTGGGATACTTCCAACCTTGTGCCATAACTAATGAACGTAGTCATGGGATAATTGACCTAATCTGTTATCGCTCGCAGGCTTGGCGGAAACTTAGACAGTGAAGAAGCTTCTGTTGGTCTGAAAGGGAAGTTCCACTTTAAGACTACCTGTCAATTTTAAAGCTCACAGATACACCTGTGCACGCGTCTGTATTATCTCTCGCGCCCGTGGACTGCGAATGGCAACCACCCTTCGTTTTTTCTCTGACCTGAAAGCGATTACGGCCACGCGTCTGAACCTTTCATTAGTATTATCCTACCGGTTTGCCATGAGACTGTGAAAAAATTATCTAATATATTCAAGGCCGACGCGATTCGGCCACATGGCGTCAGACTGTCTTGCAGCTTGTCCAGCAGACGGCTGTAACGCTAGCCGATAGTACGTAGCCGTACGACTGAACGCGCCGCCAGGCGCTGTCGTGAAGTCGGCCTTGCCGAATCTAGGTGGCTGGTCAAAACATCTAAAGGTAAACATCACGCTGCGTCAATTAAACGGGACATCGCGTGCAATAAGCGCACGAGTATTTTAGCCTTCCACTTCAAGCTTCTGCCAACGTATTCCCACGTGTGGGAACGGGGAGTCGGAGCGGCCATGACCCCCCTACTTGTCTTAGAGCTTAACGAACGCTGAGCTTATGGTGATAGTTGGAAGCTTTTTTAATTGGGTGGACCTTGTTGCTACTGTTGACTCTGCTGTTTGTGAAAAAGGCAGATTGGGAGCTTAAAACAACTATTTTCCCCAATCCTTCTACCAGACTCCTCGTTCCTCACTCATCAAGCTACTGGCGACGTTTCCACCTTGGTTTTAGCTGCCTGCGACCCAAGTGTTCGCTCTGCAGACCATGTGACGCAATTGCTTGTGTAATGAATCAGGGCCACCAGCGTGTGAACGTCACAACAACTGTACAGCGGTGCGCCCGACCCTGGAGCATCCCGGGAGATCCTAGGAACCCCCAAAACCATCGCGGGGGAGCGCCCTTGCAGAATCTGTCCGCCGTGGGATCTCGATGCGTGTGCCCTGTAGCCTGTAGCCCATCTTGTGTAGCCCATCTTGCGCCGTGGTGAGTTGGATCAGCGCGTGTTTAGCCAGCAGGAGACGCGACAGAGGCGGCGTCGCTGTCAGAGCATCACACCGGGAAACGGTGGCGTCTCTCGCACGTGTGGTGGAAGCCAGGCTCCGAGAGTCGGACCCTCGGCGGTGTGGTGCTCACAGCCTCTCGCGCGGGTCTCATGTACTTCGAAGACGCTCACGACCATACCTCACGCCGCCGGTGGTTTTGCCGCGTGACGCCAGGCACGGCGTTCGGCAGCTGACCGTGGCGTGGCTGGGCTTTGCGTTTGGGTTTGTCCTTCGTGGCTTCATGACGCAGCGCCTCTGCTCCGTTGACTTGGTCAGCGACCTCACCCGGTCCAACACATCCACTAACCGGTTTACAGCTGGGGAAGCCACCCGGCAAGAATTTTGCTGGAAGCAAGCGTCAAGTACGATTGCCCCCCCCCTCCCCCTCCCCCTCCCCCCCCCAGCACACTGCTGTTCAACGTCGCCCTGGAGTTACTGCTCGCCCTGGCAGCCCGAGAAGCCGGCCTGACCCTCAACACGCTGACGTGCGCTGATGACGCCATCCTGCCCAAGGGAACGTGTGCACTTCTGCAGGCGCTGTTTGACGTCACAGTGAACGGCCGCGTTCGGCTCGAGCTCGCACCCAGCGCCAGGAATGACGTGAGCGTGTGCGTTTTGGAACGGTTCCACAAGGCACCCACAGCCCCAAGATCTGACCGGCACAGCAGTTCCTCACAAGCTGGCGAATGCCGAGCCTAAGCACTTCATCGTTGGTCGGTCGCTTCCAAGACTCTCACTGACTGTCAAATGCCAACGAGAAGACAGGCCAGGTGAAAGATCAAAGGGTAAAACAAGGCTCTCTGGCAATGTCTGGACGCTGTATAGGCAATCTTGTTCCTCTCAGTAGCCTTTGCCACGAAAATGGCACGGAGGAGGAAGACTGACAACGCCGAAAGTCGATGCCAGATTCCGCCACCTGCTTCAGGAGAGCCTGCTTTTATGGACTTATACTTGTAAGGTTCGGTTTAAACCAGGAGTGCTGAGCAGCCGCCAGCCTCCGAAGACTCAGGGCATGTGCGCCGTCGACTCGCCGTGCAATGCGTTGAACTCGGTCAGTTGCTGTGGTCGCCGCCAGTAGGCTCACGTTGTTCGTATCGTCCCTTCTGCATAATAGCTTGGGGCACTCGGGTGAGGAAAGAAAGAGAGAGAGAGAGAGAGAGAGAGAGAGAGAGAGAGAGAGAGAGAGAGAGAGAGGAGAGAGAGGGAGAGAGAGAGAGAGAGAGAGAGAGAGAGAGAGAGAGAGAGAGAGAGAGAGAGAGAGAGAGAGAGAGAGAGAGAGGAGAGAGAGAGAGAGAGAGAGAGAGAGAGAGAGAGAGAGAGAGAGAGAGAGAGAGAGAAATATCGAGCAGGCTCTTATGGAGCGCCAGGGCAGAGCGGCGAATTTAGCGCGCCATCCTTGGCGCTGTATGGCCCGCGGTTCGCCAGGAGTCAGGTCATCCCTGGGGATTATTCACCAGTGTCCCAAGGTGGCGTCAAGCATTCCAGCTCATGGACGGCTGGCGCGGAACAAAGACCTCCGCGAGTCTGACCAGGGCAAGGTCACGGAGTGCGTTGCTATGCAGGGAGCCACCAGCGGCTCCGTTCAGACCTGCGTGTTCACACGCTTGGCGTGCTGGAAGATCATCCATTGCGCCCGGCGCACTCTCTGTCCATCATGTTGGTTGTTTGTGTCAGACTGCAAAAGCAGTGCCGCCCCTGCTGCTACCATCTGCAGAAGCTGCATTTCGTACGGGATCAATCTGTGCGAGTCTCAGATGCAAACCAGCGGTGATGCAATGCGACAGTGCGGCGCGCCAGGAAGGCAGCCGCCGGGCCGCGCGAGGCTCAGGCGAAGAGCCAGACCGGCCGACCTCCCCCTCACACGGCCAGTCTCAGCACGGACAGCCAATCTCTGACCGCTTTCTGTCTCGACAGCGGGTTCGAAGCGACTGCTCTGGACATCGTCGTGACCTTCGACACGCGACACCCGACACCGACCGTTTGCTAACACCCGTCACAGCGCGGAGGAAACGCTCGCGAGGCTTGCGAAGCAACGAGGGTAACGCGTGGTGCGCACGTGGGTGCGCTGGTGATGGGGTCTCTCGACTGGCGGGACCTTGCTTACCAGAAACTCGTGCGGTACCTCGTGTCCGGGGGCGAACGCGCAACTTGATAACCAACTCGCGATGAGCAATATCGGTCCTGCGACGCGTATGTGCAACACATCACTTTCTCCACACTTAATAACACGTAGGAGTCTCTGGGTGGTCGTAGCGTAGGTTTTTATCGTCAGCTTTTTATGTCCTCATTTTATGTCCATATTGGCCGTTTTATCAACCTCATCGAGGATTTTGTTCTTAGTTATATGCACGCAAGAACCGCTCTAATTTAACACAGCATGCTTTGAGAAGCAACATAGCAACGCAAAAATGTAGCACATTAAAAAGATGGAAATGTATTCTGCCTATCGCATTGCATGAGCGCACATCATTCAAACCATCCCATCGCAACCAAATCCTGGCTGCTTATGATTCAACGCATGAGGTGAGCGTCCTCTGGTATCAGTAGCTGCACAGCCACGCGCTTACACATGCAGTGAATTCTTTGGGCTGTTTAAGGTTATCGGCCGACACCCAGCTCACTTCATGTCGGACTGCCCTTGATGCGTATAGTGCGGCTCCGGCGGAATCGGAGTCGATTCCGCTGGAGTCCAGCCGCATGTCCGCTGACCCCGGCCCCTTGCGCGCCGCCGCGCCGGCCGGACCCCGGCAGGCTGCAGCGCGCAGACGACCCGCAAATGGACCGTGAGTGAATGATTCGATGCCGTGCGCGGCATGATTGGGGCTGTTGCAGCACGCAGCGCGCGCTCCGCGTGCGCGGCGAGAGCTTTCAGGAACAACCCTGTTTGTTTCAGCGGACGAGCCTTTGACCAGATACTATGACCACCTCGTCCGTGTTATGTGGAACACACACGAGCGCGGCGCGAGCGCTCGTCGGCGGCCGGACGCAGACGTGACGTCACCAGCTGTCCCCAGCCGGGCGTCCGCCCCGGCCCAGCTTC